TGATAATATCATATACCAAATATACAAACTTGATTGGTACACAGTATTGAAAGTCATGTACTATGATAGTTATGGTATTGACTTTTTAATTATTATTAATTAAATTATTTAATCATACACTACAACAAAATTGAGTTTATAGGACACCCTCAATCTTTAAATGTCATAATAGACCTTTTTATAAGACTTAATTTATAGAACCAAAATATAAAATGTTCTATGTAAAGGTGTTGTAATAAGTTTATATGACGTTTTTGGACGTCTTAACAAGTTTTTTAGGACAACTTTATAGGACACTTTTGAGAAAATGTCCTATAAACTCATTTTTTTATAGGACACTTATTTTTATAGGACAATTTTTCAAATAGTGTCCTATAAAGTTAATAATGAGACATTTTATATTAAAAGTGTCCTAAAAAACTTATTACGACGTCAAAAAACGTCATATAAACTTATTATAACACCCTTAGATAGGACATTTTATTTTTTTGGTCCTATAAACTAAGTCCTATAAAGAGGTCTATCAGGACACTTAGAATTTGAGAGTGTCCTATAAACCCGATTTTATTGTAGTGATAAACCATAGCTACTGAGTTTTAGCTTTTAAATTATTGATTTTTTAGTTTGGATATCTGAATATTTACAAGTTTTTATTCCATTAAATTAATTAATACTCTTAAACATGATATACATTACCTACAAATTCAAAATGTCACTCAAAAAATTTGAATAAAATGATAAGTTTTCATATGTGTAATTTGAAGTTGGTACAAAATCAATACTAATTGAAACAAGTTAGTACAGAATGCAGTTAGTTGATATGCGATATAGAATTTTGCATACCAATTATAATTGATTGGTACATGGTATTGAAAAAATAATTTGATATTGTATCAATTCCACCTCCAATTATAATAATATATAATTTATATATTTATTAATTAATTAAATGACAATCTTACCTTTAATGTTAAAAAGGGTAACAAGCTTGAATCTTGTAAATAAAAATAGAACCCGAAAGTAAATAATTATTTTAAAAAATAGATATTCATTTTTGAAAAAAAAAAACTATAATAAATTTATAAACATGAAGAATTATGAATTTTAACAAATATTAGAAAGGTACTCACGCAATGCAGCGAGATATATCTCGATTTTAATGTTTCGTTTTATTTCTTCTCTGGAGACGTTATAATACGGTTTTTATGTGGTTTTGAGAAGGGATATTTTTTTTTATTTTTGAATAAAATATAAATTTAAAGATATCATAAAATTTCGAAAATAAATATATCAATATTAGTATCAAATTAACTATTTAAAAGTTATTGTTTTTTTGTGTAATTTCTTTAATTCAATTTTTTAATTATAATTTAGTTTAGATTTAATAACAAAGTAATTTATTTTTAATTTAATAATATGATTTTTTATAAGGATAATAATTAAAAATTCTGTTAGAACTCAATGATTATTTTAATTATATTTTAAAAAAAATTATATTTAAAATATGATATTTATACGGAATTTGATTATGTTTATCTGCAGTTATTTATATGAATTCAAAAATGTAGCTTTAATAAGTTGTACTTATGTACAATTTACTTCTAATCTTAAATTTTAAGTAATATGCATTAATAAACAATACTTCATACATAAAAAACGATTTTTAAGAGTTTTTGTCAAATGATTTATAATATAGAATAGATTACATATAAAAACTTGTAAGCGTTTTAAATACTTGGTTATTAACTTTGGAGTTTGGCAACGTAGCCTAATTGGATGGTGTAGTGCAACTGTACTACTTTTAATTAAGGTTGGAAATGAGTAAATTATTGGTATTCTAAACGTTATTTTGTTATTTATTTTATAAATATATTATTTATATCTTATCTTACTTGTTAAAATAGCGGGTAATTAAATAAATAATGGATAAATGGTGAAAAAAAATTTCATTTTAAATTATAAATAATATTATTAAATTTCAAACATATATGTAAAATATAAATTAAAAAAAGTTGTATTGTTTCATATCTGAGTTGTTATAGTAAACATTTTAATATTACTCTAAATATAATAGTGGAACAATGTTTTTAAAACAATATAAAAATTGTTAAACAACACTTTTTTCGTTGTATATAATTTTCTGACTTTGTTTTGTTCTCATTTAATCCTTATGAACTCTTTTACTCGATAAATATAACAAGTAAATTAAATTACACATTAACGACATATATGATTGCATTATAAAAATACTAATATGTACCTTAATATATTTATGTGTGTATATATTAATATTTAAATTTATATAATTACACATACATACATATATATATAAAAACACACACACACACACACACACACACACACATATATATATATATATATATATATAGAGGTTGGTTCAAATAAAAACCAACCATATGGTACAAACTATGAAAACCGATCTTGACCAATCACATTCTTTCTTCACTTTAGGTTCAAATCTAAATTATAAATTAATGATAAGGGTAATTTGGTAATTCAACCTTTTTATAACCCCCAATAATTAATTGGGAGTTACAAATCTTAAAAGATACATCTAATTGTTCATGAGATTTTTATGATTTCTTTATTATTTCATGTTCATGGTATTCATTTCAATTGATTTTATACATATATTGAAATTGGTTGTCTAAGTGTACAAGATTTTCATTTCGTTCAAGATACATGGAGAATCTTATTGTAAAATAATGTCAAAATAATGAAGACGATAAACGCTTGCAGTCTATGTTCATATCTGCACACATGCACAACGATCCTTGATTTTGAAAATGTTCATATCTGTGTATCTCTTGCAGTCTATGTTCATATATGTTCACCATATGAACAACTTGTTTTCATTGAAAGACACAATCGTTGTTTACACGAACCCGTGACGATGTCATATGGTATGACATTGAAAAACATCACACCATATGAACATAGTGTTTACATTGTAAGACACAGATGATGTTCACACGAACATAGGGCCGACATGTGAACATATATGAACATATGAACATAGTGTTTACATTGCAAGACACAGATGATGTTCACACGAGCATAGGGCCGACATGTGAACATGAGTTGTGAATATGTTCATAATCAATCGTAGGTTACAAATCGGCTGGAGAATATCGGGTTCACGATGCGTGAGGATTTATTACCAAAATACCCTGTGAACAATTGTTCATAAGCAGCCCAATTAATTTAATGATTAATTGATTATTTTTTAATACTCATTTAATAATGACCGTTTGACCAATTTACCCTTTGAACAATTGTTCATACACGTATCAATCAATACATTAATTAAATTATTGTTTATTTAATCTCATTTAATAATAACCGTTTGATGATAAAATGAACGATCAATATCGGTTCACATAGTTTGTACCATATGGTTGGTTTCTATTTGAACCAGCCCCTATATATAAGGGGTAATTAATAATGAAAAGCGATTTATCCATATTCTATCCACTAGAATTTCAGGTAAACGGATAATGAATAAGTGGACTAATAAATAAAATTTTATTTATCTATAGACCTATCCAATGGATCGAAACATAACCGGTAAAAGGTTTACTGGTCCTAAGTCATTAGTAGTTAAAAAGACATTTTTTTTTTATATTTTAATATCCTGGATCCAAAAATACAATTTTTTTATTTGAATCGTGTTTATAAAAAATAGTTTTTTTAGGTGAATAATTGTGTGAGAATAAAAGTTAAGCTGTGAAGCGTAAGAAAGAATTTTGACTCTTAATCACCTTTAATCTCAAATCCATATGAATCATGGTTGATACGAGGATTGATTCAATGCATCTCATCCTAATGTGCATTCAAGAATGGAGAATATTACCAAATGCTTATCAGGTAACCGTTTACCGGGTCACTTACCTTACTGGATGTACATAGTAAGGATGAAGAATATTACCCAGTAAAAGCAATGACAAGGAATGACAGTTACCTGATAAGTGAGGGCGATAACTCTTGGTAAGATTGTTAAATATGATGTCGTTTAAATGGACTAAACTTTTACCAGATAAATAAAAATATCAGCCGTTACAATAAGTGTTTAAGAGATAAGCGTTCGAGTAAACAACTCCTCAAATATCACGGATATTTGATACATAAGCAAATATTGTATTTATTCTAACATGTGTCAATACTAATATTTATATTGATATATAATCTAACAAAAGTTTTTTATGTTGTAAACTTGTAAAATGTAATTAATATCTTGTGTTTTTACCTTAAAAACTAAGCACATTTCATGGCTCCTACCCTCCTACCAGAAACAGTGATTCATACTTACATTTCCTTGTTGAGGTTGTCGGTACCTGGAAAATGTAAATATCTTTAACATCTATGTTATAATTTTTCTAAAATACAGTAACAAAAATCAAAATTTAAAAAAAAAATGTTTTTCAACTCGCGCTATACGCATATAACAGTCAAGATGGTATTATTGAAACTTGCTTTCCAATCACACAAAAGTTTTCAATGTGTGAACGGAATGACGTGGCTGTCACAGGCTTGAGAGATAGACCTCTTGGCTTGTTTTCGCGGGTTGCTTGTCGTTGTTCGGTGGCTCTAGACTAGGGTTGTTGATCGATTTTTCAAGCATTGTACTTTCGTTGGCTTTTTCTTTAGTTTAGGTTCTTAGTTTGGCTTTTGTCTGTTGTTTCATTGTCTCGGTTTGTTCTAGTCTTGTGTGAACTTTGCTTGTTCGTTTTGCTTTGCCCTTGGGCGCTTTTAGTTGTTGTAGGTCTTTTTTTTTTTTTTGATTAACCTGGATATCCAACCCGTTATGCGAACCGACTAATCCCAAGACGATCACCTGCTTTGCAGATAGCCCAAAGTCACCGCATTTGAACCTCTGTGGCCAAAAGAGGATTTTTATTCCTCCTTAGATTTGAACCTGGGACCTTCTGGTACTTTTGACATTTGAAACCAAGCTCAAACCAATCACGGATCACCCCTTGTGATTAGGTATTGGTTTTTACATACACTTTCCAAAATCTCTACTACAAAAATCAATCGTGCCTATTACTTCGTTGACTCGTTTACCAGTAATCTCTACAAGAGCAACAACCATCTTTGAAACAATGAAATCGACTTCTATCTCTCAATACGATCTCCAATCGAAAAATATCCGAAACGAGCTTCATAACCGTATGACAATCCTTACAAACCCGCAAATTCTTCACTATTCGTATCACCCCTCCATCACATAATCTCGACATCCCGAATGCAAGGGCCAGTTTCTCACTATGCGTAGCTACCGCATCTTCTTTCTCTTCCTCTTCTATATCATGTAAAACGCTCCCATTTACTTCCGCTACATATCCTCCATCAACTCTAAGTCGTAACATAATTTCCCCGAGCTTTTTATAAGCCTCGTCCGTCACCTCATTTTGTTTTTCCCCCGCCACAAAACTATACATGACTTTATCGACTTCAATCATGCTCCAACCAGGGGTTTTCGTTAGTCTTTGACAGTGCATCGACTTTCTAACTGTCAAAACATCCTTCCATTTCCCAGCCACGGCGTATATGTTCGATAATAAAACATGGTCACCAGAATCATTAGGGTCGAGTTCAGAGAGCGTCTTTTGAACTTCCTCGGCCAAGTCGACATTACCATGAATACTACAAGCACCTAAAAGGGTTCGCCAAATAACAGCGTTTGGTTTGATTGGCATTTGAGTTATGAAGTTGTAGGCTTTTTGTAGATCGCCGGCCCGACCATATAAATCAACCATACAACCGTAGTGTTCAAAGGTCGGTTCTATACCATAGTGGTTCTTCATCATGGAAAAGTATCGATCTCCATGATCAATCAAACCCGCATGACTACAAGCATAAAGAACAGAAATGAAGGTAATACCATCAGGTTTAATCCCGGATTCCTCCATCTGGTGAAACACTTTTAGAGCCACTTCACCGTACCCTTGCATTGCCAATCCAGCCACCATTGTTGTCCAAGAAACTATGCTCTTTTTTCCGGGCATTCTTTTGAAAACTAGTTGAGCCATGTTAATGTTTCCGCACTTAGAATACGTATCCAATAGTGCATTGTTCACGGAAGTTATCCAAACAAGCCCGGATTTCTCGATATAACCATGCAAAACCTTGCCAAACTCGAATGCTCCGGCTTGTGCACAAACAGAAAGAATTCCTGTTAAGCTTACTTCATTGGATCTCAATCCAAGCCGTTGGGATTCTACGAAAAGATCAAAAGCCTCATCGAAGCATCCATTGTGAGAAAACCCTACAATCATTGTGCTCCAAGAAACATCATCTTTTAATCGCATCTCGTGGAAGAACAGCTTCTTGGCAAACTGAAGCTCCCCAAATTTCATATACCCAGCCAACATGATATTAGAGGAGATCAAATCTCTAACTGGCATCTGTTTGTACAATTTCTCTGCACCCCTAACGTCGCAACACCTAAGATATGCCGTAATCATTGCATTCCATGCCACAATGTTTGGTTCAAACATTTTGTCGAACACCTTTCCTGCATGACTAATCCACCCACACTCTGCATACATACTGACGAGTGTAGTTCCAACGTACAAATGGGTATCAAGGCCATAGAATATTGCTTGCGAATGGAGTTGAATCCCGGTGGTATAAGATCGTAAATTCGCAGCCGCTTTGAGCACAAAGGCAAAGGAGAAACTGTCTGGTGAGTTGTCCGAGTTCCGGCGCATGTCGATGAACGTCGTGAGAGAGTGATATGGGTGATCTGAGTCGGAGAATCCTCGTATGAGGGTATTGTACATGAAGGCATCTGGATTTGGGAAATGGTGGAGGAGAGAGTGGGCATAGTGGAGAGCATCGGAGATGAGTACGGCACAGTGAAGGATGAGATTTCCGGTGACAAATGCATCAGATATCCCAGTTTTGACGATGTGGGCGTGGACTTGTTTGACGGATCTAAGGTTCTTGCAGCGTTTCAATACTGAGAGACATAAAGGCTCAACAATGTTGCCATTGACCATGGGTGAAGATTTCACCACCAATAAATTTTCCGACTAGAGTGCCATACATAAATTCAGTCAGGGAATGGCTGAATGTTGGCAATTCATTCTGACCTGCAACCTGCAAGTAAACTACACGAATTTAAACATGTTGGGGAAGAGGCGTTACCAGGGTCTGTCCAAAGGTTTCTGGTGCACAAAAGATGATCTTCTGGTTACTGGAAAAATTGTTTATATCACAATTCACACACATTAAATTGTTTATAAGAATGTAAAGTTTGACTTACAATTTTGAAAGTTAGTTCCCAAAATAGACAAGTTCCATTTTGATGCAATTTTCCCAATCTTAAAGCACATACCATGACTAGTTTGATGCCATCTTGAGCTATTCGCAAGTTACAATTTCCTTGCCTACAATAATGTAAAAAGACAAACAAAAAAAAAGAACTTGATCTGGGCTTATAAAATCAAACAATTCAAGCTCAGTTCATACTGCATAGAGGATCACAGTATTCATGCTTGGACACATGGAAAAATTAGCATGGAACATGTGTGAATTGAGATCACAGGTTGATGGTTTCGGGCTTTCGGCTGTAGCAAAAAAAAAAAATCCAACATTTTAATGATATAACATATTGTACCACCTGTGTGTGAATTATGATCGTAGTTTGAGGTCTTATACTTACCTATTAAGAGCTTTCTCCAATAAGGCACAACATCAAACACCTAATGTGCATGAAAAAAAATAAGGTGCACTTTTGGCAAGACATCCCAACTTGAATTAACTAAAATATGTGTCGTCAAGGAATAGGATTTCAAAGTTGAACAAGTATAGAAGAGATTTACCAGAGATAGTGATGGGAATACAATGGTAAGTTGTTTATGATTATCAGAATGAGTGAGTGCAGTCTCTCCTGTCGTAGATTAATGATAGTAGGCAGTGGTGGATCCAGGGAATTATTTGCCTCGGGGGCAAGTAACAAGTATCAATTTCCCTAGGCGTCAAAGGAGTAGACCTAGGTTGGGAAGGATTTCCTGTGACGTTTCCATCTGAAGGTTCTTCGCCAATACCACCACTCTCGATCCATTTGTTGACTTTTCTTTTCAAAAACAGTTCCATTTTCTAGCGAAATAATAAAGCAATTGAACAAATCAGCAAAATACTTAAATACTTGTCTGGTTGCAGGGGCAGACCTATGCAGATAACATCGAGGCATCATTTTATCTTAAATTTCCAGAGAAAAAACTGAGCCTAGAGGTGGAACTGTATCTTTTTCTTGATCATGCTTTTCTTTTACCTCCTACATCATCATGTTGAAGTATTCTCCATCTTTCATTTCTCCCATCTACTAGATAGTCTTTTGCAGATGCTACTTTCATTTCTCTTGTTTTGCTTCCTTTACAAAGCCACCTTTTTCTCCTCCCCCCCCCCCCTTCTTAAGTTTCTTGATAAGGAGAGGGGAAACCAGAAACACAGAAAATCAACAAAATTGGGTTTATAGGAGCCAACAATGTATAAATGTCCTAATTGATTGCTTTATAGGACTTGAATGTTTAGAACCAAACCATAGAGTGTCCTACATAAAAGTGTGGTAATAAGTTTATAGAACGTTTTTGGGTGTCTTAACAAGTTGGACAATTTTAAAATAATATGTTGGATTAGCAAATTTGATAGGACACTATTTCAAAAAGTGTATAAAAAATGTCTCGATAGGACACTTGCTAAAAAACTTGTTAAGACACCCAAAAACATCTTATCAACTCATTACAACACTTTTGGATAGGACGCTTTATTGTTTGGTCCTATAAAGCAGTCTATTATGACACTTACACAATGTTGACGTCCTATAAACTCAATTTTGTTGTAGGGCATCTTCTGAGGATGCCAACCAAAACCTTACAGAGCCCGGCGGAAAAAATATTTTGCTAACATGTAATGAATTCAGGGTTCTTAATCAAACATACGTGCCTAAGGTTGTGCAGTTAAGAATTCCTAGAGGCGGTTTGGTTGGTTTTTCATTAAGTCCTGTATGGATAAAGTTGTCTATGTGGATTAATCTGTCTGCATAGATTGGAAAGTTTTTGTTTGGAGGGTTTTTTCACAGATGGAAGAAGCATGTTTTTTAATTGGAAGATACGGGTTTGGAAAAACTTGGCTTTCTGCATAAAGCTCCCTCCTAGAAGCTCACTGAATAAGCCACTTTCTATATCATTAAGATCGAGCTCGAGCCATAAAAGTTATTTGGGCTCGAGCCTTGTATTTTTTTTCGAGTCGAGCTCGAATAACCTACTACTCGACTCGGCTCGGCTTGTTTACACCCCTAAGTCATAACAAATCCCAAATTAATCACTAGTAGGTGATTGATGATCGTGGTTGTGTGTCCAGTGTGAGTCCGTGTACGTGTGGCTGATATAGAGCTCTCATAAAAGTTTATACTTAATTTCTATCACAAGGCCTTGTTCTTTCACTTGGTGCCATGGGAAAACCTACATCGGAGCATACGGCGGCCCATGCCACTTCATGGTTCTGTCGTAGTGCAAATAAACCACGTTCCCAGAGGGCGTTGCTGTAGTGTTTCATTGTGTCCCGTTATATTTTCTTAAAACTACAATTATGACAAAAGTTTAAGGTGGCTGGGTTGGTTTAAGGCGCTAAGTTTAAGATTCTGCTTGTTGAAAAAGCCTGGGTCCGAATCCTGTCCTTAGCAAAATTCCCCTATGATGAAAGCAACTGTAAGAAGACTTGAACGGTTCAAGTCTTCATATAGTTGTAAGAAATTTATAAAATTATATTGTGTTGTTGCATTTGCTGCCCACTACGAAATCAACCAAAAAAGGTCCCCGGTAAAGATAGAATTCGGCCAAGAGAACGCCAACGTAAGATGTAGTCTTGCATCTTGCTCAAAATGACGAGGTTGATTCCATTTGTAAAATGTAATGTATCAAATCAACACTATTAAATTTTCCCCGGGTCAAACTATGTTGACTTTTCCCTGGGTTAAATTCGCAATCTTGCTGCCTTTGATTGATTGACCTCAAAGGTGCCCCCTCTTAGAAAAATTCTGAGTTCGCCACTGTCTAGTTGTCTAAGGGGCTGTTTACTTAACACTTATCCGGTAAGTGTTTATCGTGTAATTTTCCTCAACTGAAATACATGGCAAGGGTCGAAAATCTTACCCGGTAAGAGTAATGATAAGGATAGAGAGTCTTACCTGATAAGGGATGGTAATGACTCTTACCCGGGTAAGCGTTTACCGGGTAAATTGTTGCACACGATACCATTTTAATATACTACAATCTTATTTGGTAAAATAAATTATAATGTTTGACTCCTACCGGTAAAGTACTTGTTTATCTACTTCAATATTTCCTAGGAATGCTTTAGCATTTAGCAAAATCAAACAAGGTTGTCTAAAACATAGGCAAAAAATTGAACATAGGTAAGAAATCAATATTTGTGTAAGAAATTAGCATTTGTCTAAGAAAACGAACAGAGGAAAAAAAATCAACAACAATTCAAGCAATCAATAATCGAAATTTGTTCATTAACATAGGCAAAAATATCAGCAAGAAATTGCAGCAATCAACAAATTTGCAAAAATCTAAGAAATCACCAAATCAATGAAAAAATCAATCACTAACCTGAAATTAGTGCAGAAATTGAAGAGGCAAGACCAGTAGCCCGCAGAAATGGAAGCAACAACCTTATCGATAGAACAGGAAAGACCAGGAACAAGAAGCTTGGTAACTAAGCAAAAAATCAAAGCACCAACCTGAAATTTATGTAATATTCGAAGTGCAGTTCCTTGTAGATAGGTTTAAGGTTTTTACGTAGAAATAAAACCACTAACCAGGAACCGGAAATGAGAAATCGACGGTCACTAACTCGTGATCGGCGTTGGGCACCGACCGGAGATGGCTGTACCTGTGCGATTGTGACTTGCGAGTCTGTGACGGTTGAACTTGGATCGATTGAGGGTAGGTTTTACGTGAACCCATTTTTTTATCTTTTTCTTTGTTATTTTATTTTTATCTTTTATCAAATTAATATAAACTTATGTAAAACTTAGGAGCTGTTTGGTTCATGGATTTGGATGGAATTGAAAGGAATTGAAATGGCCAAATCGTTTGACCAAATTCCAAATACAATATTTGGTTCATGGAATAAAACTGATGGAATCCTTTCAATTCCAATAAATTACCCCACTCACATATTTTACATTCCACGACAATACCCTCGGATTTCAATTTTTTTCCGACAAATTCCTTCCCTAATTCAAAAAATCATAAAAGGTCATTTGTTGATATTTAATTCTGATTCCAAAGTTGAATTCCATGAACCAAACAAAAAAATTCCAATTTCTTTAAGAATTTCATTCCAATTCTATGCAACCAAACGCAATCACAAGGCATAGTCAAATTCCATCAAATTTCATTTCATTCCCTCAAAGTCAAATTCATTTGATGAATTCCAATTTCATCGAATTCCGTTCTACGAATCAAACGCCCCCTTATAGTTTTTAGGGACTGTTTGGTTTATAAAAATGAAATGAAATTGAAATTATTTCAGCGTTTGGTTTGTAAGATTGTCATGATTTGAAATCTAAGGATTCTTTTGAAATCTCATAACTGATGTATTTGGAAATCCTTTCGAAAGGGTTGGTATTTCAAATCCAAATTCTGTGGGATTTCAAAAAATTGCTTCCAGCCTAATTGCCGCATCTCTTCTCTCCCTCTGCTTCGAACAAAAATGAAGTTCTTGCTCCCCTCGTTGGTGCTTTCCTCCCCTATCCTCCTCCATAACTCCGACGTCTTCCATGTCCTCCTCCGCCTAACCTCCGTCGCCCTCTCTGGTCTCTCACCTAATGGAATCTTCGTCAACATAACCACTTCCGAACCCTTATTAGCTGTCGAAATCGTCAATTCTGCCGTTGGGAAGTCATGTTTCTCAATCGACGCTCTAGTTTCCGGCGAAGACCGTGGTGTTCGTGATGCCGCGTTGTCAATTTTCGCCGGCGGCAACGGATGCTGTGAAACAATTGAATCCAATTTTCTCCTTTTTAGGGAAAGTTAACTACATGGTGGTTCAGGTAAAGGATAATTTCGCAAGATTAACGAATCAAATCATGATTGCTTCAACAATGGTGATATTAATTGAGGGTTTAATCTATGCAAACAAAGTTGCGTTTTGATTTATCCCTTTATTTTGATGCAATTTCACTAGGAGCAGCTGCGTCAAAATCCCTAGGTTTGTACGTCAACAGATTAATAAAGTTTGTGTGTTTCTTTATTTAACAAACAAAATAATTACAAAAAAAAAAAAAATTATAAAATCCTACAAACCAAACATAATTTATTTCAAATTCATTCCAAATCCTACAAACCAAACAGATAAAGAATTCCAAATCCATTCCAATACAAATCTCTTCATAAAATCCAAATCCTTTAAAGACAATCATGCAAACCAAATGCACCGTTAAAGTATTTCTAATTGATTTTTTAAAATTGAGATTTTAGGGTTTTTTGTTCTAATGGATTTTCAATTTGAAGAACTCTTAAAAAATGATTACTTAGGAAAGATAAAATAATCATTTTATGTTTCTATCAATGAAAATAATTGAAATTAAAATATTTGAAAGAGAGATTAATATTTTATAAATTATTATTCAAAGTTTTAATAATATAAGTTAAGATTGTAATCTCTCAAAATGAAAAATCTATTGGATATGAACATTTAATGTTTCATAGCCTTGCTCGGTGCACTATTCGCGTGACAACGACATCATGGCAATTTGTGTGCCGAAAGGTCTGAGCTTTTGTCCAATCCACACTCTCCATCCTAGGTTGCAGGACCTTTCTTCTTATGTCCCAAGGCAATTGTACAATCATGACATGTTGCGTAGTTGTCCCTAATTTGTAGGTGACTTCGGTAGAATAAAGACAGGTTAGCGACAAATTTTGTTTTATCGCTAATTCCTCAGTAATTCGTTGCTAAACCATCTCTATCAAACCACCCTTGTCTGAGACATGATAATACAAAAAAAGTACAATAATAGAAGGTACAAGAATTATTTCATACATGAAGTATTGTTTATTGATACATCTTACTTACAATTAGAAGTTACATGTAAATTGTGCGTAATTACAACTTATTAAAGCTTCATGTTTGAATTTGTATAACTAACTGCAGATAAACATACTCAACTATAGGATAAACATCTCATTTTAAATATAAAAAATCTAAAATAATTAGGATAACCATTGAGTTACACTTGTAACATAATATTTAATTATTATCCTTATAAAAATTATAGTATTAAGCCAAAAATAAAATTACTTCGTTATTAAACCTAAATTAAATTATAACAAAAAATTTGAATTAAAGAAACTATATAAAAAACGAGGAATTTTAAATAATTAATTTGATACTAATATCGATATATTTTTTTTTTAATTTTTTATGAATATAAACATTATCGCTTTCGCAAAATCACACAAAACCGTATTATATCGACAGAAACAAAAAGTAAAACAAAATATTATCTCGCTGCATTGCGCGAGTATCGTTCTGATAATTATTAATAAGTAAATATGTAGATCTGCTTTGGAAAGAATTTACTTAAAATATAAACTATAAAATAATCAGAAGAATAAAGAAGACATGAAAGCTGGAATAGCTCAGTTGGTTAGAGCGTGTGGCTGTTAACCACAAGGTCGGAGGTTCAACCCCTCCTTCTAGCGTTTCACTTTTTCACAAATTCTATTCATATTATTTTTTATTTTTTATTTTTATCCTAGCTTAATTAGTTTTTTTTAATTAATAATGAATTAAAATTATGTTATTATAAAGAATAAAGCATTTCCTCTGAGTTATTTCGCTGGTTATTATATATTTTATTAGTTATTTTTCGTATTTTATTATATATGTTATCGTGATATTTAAATTTTAAAGTAGGTTAGAATACATAATTCATATGATTCAAATGTATAAATTAAAATTAATATAAATTTAATTTATAAACGTGCTAAAACTATTGTATCTTTGTCACTTTTAAAATAAGAATACATATGTCTCAAAGTTAATGGACCAAGACTGTAATTGTGAGAACCGGTAGAAATAAATAGCAACACGTCAAATTTTCGTTATATTGGAGTGACTTTGACTCCAATTTGATATTTGATATAAGATGTCTGTCGCCTTCACTTACCGGGTAAGACTCTTGGTTCTTGTGTCGTTCTTATCGGGTAAGATTCTTGGTCAGTACCATATTCATCCGGTAAGATAACGTGGCTTGATGTTCACTTACCTGAGTAACCATTTGGTAAACAGCCCCTAAATTTCAGTAATGTTTTACCACTATATGATTTAGAAGACAATTCTCATTCAAAATTGGACATATTGCATGTTATCATAGATATAAAACTACTATAAAAGGTTTTAAATGAGAGAGTAATAAGTAAGGTGTTGTATGTTGTTTAAAATGTGTTAAATTTTGAAATCTTAAAGTTCTTTTACTTTTTAATGGTGCTATTAAGAGGCTATGTGTGAATCATTAAGAGGCTGGACTTGTTTGGCAAAAAAAAATAAACCTCTTAACGATGACAACACACTCTTAAAGATTTTGTACCCGGGGTTTCACCAAATGATTCAGATCCTTCATTTTTCCACATATGCTCTTCAACCATTCAGACTCTCAAACCGTTTTCTTGTTTCCTCGCACCGTTCCACGCATCGATCTCTGTAACACCGTTGTCTTCCTGTCTTTCACGCCGGCCGTCTCTTGATTCCTTATGGTTCATTGTTGATTTTGGTTCATTTTTGATACTTTTTGTTATTGATTTTATGGTTCATTGTTGATTCCTTATGGTTCATACTAAGGGTTAAATTGGTAATTTGTTGTCATTCAAACCGTCCGTTTAAAACAATTACCAACCCACCATATTTCATTCTGCAGTATATCATATAGAGCCTCTAAAGTATTCTAACCACTTAGCCATTTAGCAACTATCAAACAACCCCTAAAAGGTTTTAAAATCTTGTCATAGAAAAAAAATACAAATCAGTAGTCTAATCTCTTATCGAGTAAGACATAAATGATGAATACCAACTACCAAGAGCACATAAGTAAACATTGGGTTCACAATAATGGCAGATGGGATGTCACTAATTGTACCAAACTACGCCAACAGGTAATTGAAAGGGAAAAAAAAAAAAGACAAATCTTTGTGGTTTTCTAACAGCAAGTATTACAAAAAGAGATCTTAGAGCCTTGAACCATGGCCATGGATGTCATCTATCATCGCCCATTTCGTCAATGTTGGTGCGAAACAAGTAATCTTCATCGTCTAATTCATCTTGGTAAAGACATAAAGATGGTGTCTCAACCTTCTTCACATCTGCATCCACCTCTGATGATGACCTCTGTCCCTGTAAAACGAAATCCATTCCAACCACTGTTTCTGATGATTTCTACACACTTCTAACATCCAAAATCCCAAGAACGACCGATTTCAACAAAAATTGCCAAGTTATGTTCTTTATGCATTTACACTTCCATAATATATCCAAAGTTGGGGTAGCCGACTAAAGGTGGGGATCTAGACGGGAGGAAGAAAGCTAGGTAGAGGGCGGGGGGATAAGGTTGGTAAGTCGGTGGTTAGGTTACGAGAACCTAAGTTGGACTAAAGAAGCGTGTAGTTTCCACACCTTAATTATGTTTCTCAAGTACTTGCATATTGTTGTTGCTCACTCATATCTACTTACTATTGCTACTCATATCTAACTTTTCAATGTTCAGCGTATCTATTTTTCTTCCTTTCTCAAACTTCCACTAGTCAGGGTTCTTCAAGGATTCAACCGCTCTACTCTTTAGGGTAGAGACCAGATCTATATACATCTTACCACCCCCACTCTCCCTACAAAAAAAAAGATCCCATCTCCGGGTGGATTTACTAGGCTCATTTAAAACGTCCAAGATTACTTGTTTTTTCAAACTATAATGTTCTTTTAGCATTTTTGCTAAAATGGCTTAAACATAGATCACTCTTGAGTCTTGATTGAAACAAATATAAAGATCTGTATGTAAGGATCCCTAAACTAACCTTCCTCAAGATATAAAAGAAATAGTGAAACCCATCTCCAAATGTAGCATACTCGATGGACCAGGTAAACTCAGGAGCACTGAATAGTGGACGCCTGAAGTGTGGCTGCAGGACACAAAATCATCAGATCATTACAATTTACAACACAGAGGAGACGTGTTTGATGAATTTTCTTGTCTAATACCTGGCCAAAAGCGATTGAGATGAAAATCCCATTGGGTTTTAAAACCCGATGCACACCTTGAAGCATTGTCATTGCTCTGTTCACAGCCTCAGGCCGTGGGTTCCATGGGTCGCCACTGTCCACGAACAAAACATCCTTCAAGTAAGAAGACATAAACTTGACTCATCAAGATTTAGAGGATTAACATTTTGGCAATTGTACAACAAAAAAACCAAATCAAACAAGCCAGTACATCCCATCTGGAGGTGGGGTCTAGGGGGTAAGATCAAAGATGAAAGAAGACCTGACCTCTACCCTAAAGAATAGAGCAGTTGTTTTGTGAAGACCCCCGACTAGTAAAAAATGTGAGAAATAAAGAAAAACAGATATGCTAAACATAGAAAATGTGATATGAGTAAGCAATAGCAATAGAAATAGGCGATTGTACAACAAGTTGCAACCAAATATTATTCACGAATGTATCTATGCATGTTAGTTTTTTGATTCTTTTTTCTTTACCATAGTTCCTTTCTCTATAACGACATCAAATGACTCATCCGCAAAGGAAAGATCCAGCATGTCACCTTCCAACACTTTGATATCTGCTAACAGAAATGTCAATGAAGATTTACTCATAGATGATGTTAAGTAGTTACCCTTAAAAAAGCTTAGCATCTTTGATTTCAAAGCCAAATATCACGAACGAGGACAAGTATTTACATAGCCATTATCAAGAGCAAGAGTTTTAACTTTAAAAGGACTACTACTTGACTTATAAATGCAAGAAGGTACTTTTAAGGTTTGGATAAACAAATAGGGTACCATCAAAGTTTAGAGTCGTTGCACATTTACGACTGATAACTGCATTAAACCTCATAACAAGCATAGAAAGTTGGTGATAAATTAGCCACAAAAACCATATTAACTTTGTAAGTCGGAAGTACGAAGCTTTGATGTCAAAAAGCCTAAATGTGTTTGTTCTCCTGTTGTGAATACAACATACGCCTGACTGGCAAACAATATGCAAATATTACTTTGTAAAAGAAAACCTATGGCTTAGTTCATCATCGATGTATAGGTTGATAATTTATCACAATGCTTTCCTAATATCAAAAGATCAATCTATTTGAACCGATTCAATGTAATTGTCGAACAACTGGATCCAACTTGAAATAATAGAAATGCACAAACCCTTGTAGCCTTTGGATAACAATCTAGTCTGCATCTTCTGAACTGCAACTGAAGAGAGATCAATGCATGTTAGCTTCGTTATTCCTTCTTTATATAATTCATCACACAGTTGTGAGTTTCCACACCCCAGCTCCAATACCTACACCATTTCACATTAATTCAATTTTGTAACTTTAGGGGTTCACTATGGACAATTTAGATGACACCCGAATCAGGTTAATAGCGAAATAAGGTGTATAAATTAATGGAAACCACCAAAGTCACCATTTCTCCCCTTTTTGATGGTAAATATGGAGAGATTGAGTGTCCGAAAAGAGCATGCCAACGCATGTTTATTTTTTAAAGTTTAAAATAGTGAGTTCGGTAGTTGTCATATGCTTTCCCCAATTGTATATGTAGACGAAGAGAAAGGAATATACAGAAGAAGTGGGTGTGATATGTTGCTGAATGAGATGACGAAAATGGGAGTAATCTTTAAGCCATTCGTAATGATCCTCACAGGTGAACCTGTCATTCCTGATGATAAACAATACCACAATCATCAACAATTCACAGATGCATCAAATAATTTCGCACTGAAAGTAATCACAAACAGCCGATAACATCAGTGGCTTCAGATTCGAAGAAAAACGAGAGCACCATACTCGAACATACAACTATTCCTATCAATAACAATGTTCCAAATTCAAATTCAGAAGACGATTAACGTAGAAGTTGAAGGAAGGAATTGACAGAGGACAAACCAGTAGTTGGGGTCGAGGTATGCCAAAACGGAAGGGGGGCCGACGGCGGTTCTCTTGGCTTCCGACGACGGTTCATCCATTTTGTTAGAAGAGAAAACCTAAAAAGCTCGTCGAGGTTTGGGTTTGGTGGCATTTAAACCTGCCAAAAGCATCAAAATCCAAATTATTCGAATAAAACATTCTCTTATCATGCGATTTAATAAAGTTTTAAATTTTCATATTCCAACTTCACAAACTTTCTAAGGGATGGTTTACTAAATATTTACATGGTAAAATCAAAAATCTTATCCAGTAAGAACAATAATAAATATTGAAAGTCTTACTCGATAAACGAGAATGATGACTCTTACCCGGATAAGCGCTTACCGGATAAATTGTTGAATACGATACTAATTTGATGCACTGCAATTTTATCCGGTAAAATAAATTACAATATTGACTACTAATGTTAAATACTTACAAAGTAAGCGTCTAGGTAAACGGCCCATAAGTTTTTTTTAATTCTTTTTAATTATTTCAATCGCCTAACTTTTTGATTTTCTAATATGTGATGAAATGGACGTCAAAGTTTATCGTTCATTTTGTTATAACTTTTGTATGAACATTTTAATTTGACGTAATCAAATATCTTAAGATTAGTAGACTATTAATCAAAATGAATACAAACTAACAGAAATTTTTGCAACTCAGTAAAGATTTAACATTTTTGAACTCTATCTGTAACTCAGTAAAGGTCCCAAAAACAAAAAGAAGTTCAAAATTTTAAAATCCTTTTACATTGAACGAGATAAAAATCTTTGTTATATTAAATATGATTGTATATTTCCCTTTAAATACTCTTATCCTCGGCCTTTTCATGGGCTAACGAATCTAAAAAATCTATTATATATAAAATAGTTTAAAATACACAATTTTTTTCAAACTTAAGTAAGGGGTCATTTACTAAAATCTTACTTGGTAAGTGTTTACCAAATAAATTTTTTTATCGGATGAACATGACAAGGGTCAAGAATCTTACCGGGTAAGAGCGATGAGAATGATGGAGAGTCTTACTCGGTAAGCGCTTACCCGGTAAATTGTTGCATTCGATACGTTTTGATGTACTAAAATCTTACTCATCAAAATAAATTATAATATTAACTCCTATAGATAAGCACTTGCTAGGTAAGTATTTGGGTAAACAACCTCTAAGATGAGGTGCAAAAAAAAAAAAAATACAAAATTTAGCTACACGGAAAGTATATCAAGAGCCAAGAATGAGATGGTGAATTAGGCATTGGGAGGTCATCCAAAATTTCCTTTAGTTATAAAAACACAAACGAAATAGGCAGGTTTGTCTGATCATTAATGTTAAGGGGCCATCCCGGACTCATCCATTTATTTGAGAGCGGTTGTCAAAATCCGATTTTTAGCGGGCCGTCCCATCCGTAAACAATTCTAACACGTTCCTATGGTTATGGCTCGGGTTGTTCAAGTCTGGTATACCGCATAAATTGTTAAAATTGAGCATCATAACAATTTTCTACCAATACTAGAAGGGGTTGGCATTGGTATATTTGCAACAAGAAAACACTCACTTTTTTGTGATCGAGTTTCAATATAAATCTTAGAACGAACTCATCAACTAACGAAATACAGCTTTCAGTCACTTGTAAGTGGCGTATTTGCACGGGTTTTATACTTGGATTGCATTGGAAGTTAGAGACAGAAATGATCCATATATGTATGCATACCGATTTCATAATTACAATGAAAAAATGGGGTGAAATTCGATTGTTTGCCTAAACATGCCTCAAAGCCTCATTTTACATTCCGGATCTACTATACATATATACTCAGTTTCCATTCTTAACAGAAGAAATCTGAATTCATACCACTCATCATTTACTGAGGGGTGGAAGGGATTGGAGAACTTGGAGGCTTCAAGGTTTCATACCTACCACAGCAAGAAAAAAACTGCAGATGATTAGTTCTAGAAATAATGGGAACATAGAGAATAAAAAAATTCATAGAAACAACTGCTATACTTTTTGGGGTAGAGTTCAGGTATCCATACATCATACCCCTAACCCACCTCCCCGTGAGGTATATTAGGTTTGTTTGGTTTGATTTATAAAGAATAAAAACAGATTCAATGAAAAAGAACATACATGGGATAAGGTGAAAGTGGCCTTGGCTTCACTACTGTGCTAGCTGAGGTGTTTTCTGGTGTGGAAGCACTAGGAGACCCGTTGTCTACAGGGATCGTTGATGGTGGTGATACCGATGGTGAACTTGGAGATGGCGATGTAGGGGGTTTTAGATTGTCATATCTAGCAGCATCAATACAATAAATCAAACACAAGGATCAGCATAAGCATAAGCATAAACTTTGATGTACAAAAAGTTCCATTTTTGTGTGTGTATATGTAGAACCACCAGATATATAAAGGATAAATGGTCCAAGTCTAGATGATGTGCGACTCCAACATGAAGTTGACTAGAAAGATAAGCACTGTGATGCATGCCCTTATTAAAGATGAACTTACACATAGTAGGGTGAATTACTGGAAGTCAAAGTTTGAGGAGGATCCTCTTTGGCATCACCGCCATCTTCAATCTCCACAATCTTATCAACGCTTGTAGTGGATTCTGATGCAATTTCTGGTGTAGAAGAGGAATAAGATGGTGTCTCTTTGGATCCACTTGGGGTTGGGGTTGGAGAGGTAGGTGGCTTCAGGTTCTCATAACTGTCAACAAGAAAAACGCAATCAAAACTAACGTTGAAGTCAATCCAATAACCACAGAGATTGACTTACGCAGCATAAGGAGAGAGAGGCCTGGTTGTTTGCAATCCTACAGCCACTGGTGCAGGTTCAGCTGTAATAGCTATGGTTTCTGAAGTTGTGGTGGTTTCGGAAACTACAGAAGTAGATACTGCTTCTACTACTACCTTACTGCCACCAGGTGCGGTTGGAATCGGGGATACAGGAGGTTTCAAGCCTTCATAGCTGTGACAGTAATATCAACAAGAACATTGTAACAAGATAATGAGATCAATGGCGTTTAGATTGGTTTTAGGTTTTGAAAGTGGAAATTGGTGTACTTTTTTTTGCAGAAAACATGATGTTTATGAGAGTAAATGGAACCCCATTAGCTTACTTTCCAATTAGAAAGATAACAAAGGTTCCTACATATATTTAGAAGAAATGGTCCAAGTCTAGCCGATGTGGGACTCTAATACATGCCCTCAACGGAGGCTAGACAGGCACATACTGTCCCCGAGTGTGTAGAGGGTGCTAGAGGGGTGAGGGGGTTAGCGTCGAATTCCTAGAGTGGTAGACTTTGACTCGGATACCATGTGAGAATATGTGGAACCCCATTAGATTACTCTTCAAATGAGCCCTTGAAGATATAATGGAGGTTCCAACGTTAATTGAGAAGAAATGGTATAAGTCTAACCAATTTGGGACTCTAAACAAAATTAACTACCCTAAATACAAATGAATACGGCTTACGCAGTATATGGGGAGAGTGGCCTTGCCGATACTGGTTTTGACTGGGATTGTGTTTCAGTGACAATGCTTGAACTCTCTGAACTGGAGCCCTTGGGGACAGGCTCAGGTTCTTTGCTAGCTTCTGGTTCCTGATAGCACTACAAATGTCAGTACTTATAGACTTGTAGTTATCATCTGAAACTAAGTTGACCAGGAAAAGGTTTCAGAAAGCATCATTTTAGCTACTAAATAATTTGCAGAGTTAATTTGAACATTGATACAATGATTATGATATAAACAAGAATTCAACGTTGATATACCATCAGCTTAGGCAATATAATTCAGTTGAAATAAAGTATGTACCTTGGGTGGGTAAGTTACAGCACGTTGAGGTGGTATTTTTGCTAGGAGATCCCCCATCGGGGTCAATGGTGCTGTTGTTTCTGCAATTACTTCCACAACTTTACAATAAGAGAGAGCAGGGTTTTTGGCCATGAACGCAAGGAGTTCTGCCACCTGATATCAATAACAAAAGTTAACAGAACAAAAGCTCAGTTGCATATAGAAAATAGTAAGGAATGGAGTTACTGTCACACTTATTGACTCGTCATATTGAATGCTCATAATGTACCGATCATAGAACATAAACAAAAAAACCCAAGTGATAAAAAATTCAATGGTATTTTGGTGGAAGAAACCTGAAGATTCGATACTAAACCGCCAAATAAAGTATCTTCTGTATAGAGGGTAAGATTATGAGTTTCCTTGAAAGAATCGGTAGGACGCTCCATACCTCCAGGTCTCACTATCTGAAATCACGTTACGAAAACAAGATAGGTTTGTATGTGTCTAGGTAACCATAAGATTATAAGGCATAGTTTGATCTAACTCACTGTGTAAGGAATACCACTAGCAAGAAGTGCTTCTTCAGCCTTCCTTTTCCAGCATAGGACTCCCCAGAACAAACTCCGCACGAAAATAGGAATATAATCAATGCAAGTATCATTTCGATGCAGATATTTTAGTTACCAACTCTTCCAAGTCAACAAACGGTTATCTCGATTCATTAGAAATTGGACAGGTAAGGGAATTTCCGGTGGAGCGGTGAAATGCGTAGAGATCGGAAAAGTGTTTATAGTATGGAGTAGTCACAATTGAGAAAACAGGACTTACTTCAATACAGCAGCAGGAAATCCAAACTTGTTTGTTCCCAAAGATGTGACCAAAATAAACTGTTTTGCCTTTGAAGCAGTAGCTACACATTTGAAACAAGTACATCAATTCGACCTATATATTCCTAGTCACCAGATTGCTTCGATCCATATACTTCTCATCCCCAAAACAACAAAAAGAAAACTACAAAGCATTTCCTATATGCATAAGCAAAATAAGGCAAATCCTAGAAGCATGCATATATGTTCATTTCATTTTTTTTCTTCTTCTTCTTCTTTCTTTTCATCAGCATAAATGCCTGTATCACTGTCTCAGAAAAGAAAAACAATGATGAATAGCCTCGTGTTATGAAAAAATACATGATACTAAGTCTTTGTTTTCGAGCAAAAGGTTTTAAGCATTATGTGTGATGAAGGGTGGAGGATCAGGATTAGTTAAGCTCGCCCTCTATAACAGACAAGTGATGATCTTTATTGAGACTTTCATATAGTTCAATTGTTAGCCATAGCATGATCAGTTATAACTGAACTTGAGATTCCTTAAAACCTTATATACCTGCGTCAATAAGGTTTTTTGTGGCTTGAAAATCAATTCGGTATGGTCCAGTAACATCAAATATCTCCTTCTCACTGGCCCCAATGCAGCATATAACAGTTGAAGCCCTGCCCAATGCCGGCTTAATCTGCTCTGGTTTCTCCAAGTCACACTCCACAAGTTCAAGCTTCTCTATAGCTGGGCTACAGAGTACAGACCAACGGAATTATGTTATTTGCGGTTGGAGCATTTCTCCTTGGATATAATTAAAATTTAAACAGGTCACGGAAATTATGACTGGCAGGGAGACTTCTTGGAAGTGTTCTCTTACGCTGACTTCCATCAGATAATGCTTCATCAAGTTTCATCTGCTGCACGCTCTACAGGTAAGACAACAGATTAGTTCATTCATTATTTAGGAAACTGAAGCAGATGATCAACCTAATAACTAATCAAGGTCATTACTTTCACCAAAGTTTCTGCTCTTTGAGTGCTTCGCACACCAGCTCGAACATTAAATCCTAATTTCAAAAGCTCCCTGAAAGAAGCTTCAGTTATTTATTGATATTTTCATAAGCAAGTGCAAAAGTTTGATGATTCTTAGGTGTTAGTATAGTTAACCTTACTGTTCGCGAACCAACTTTGCCAGTCGCTCCAGCAACAAAGATGAGATTTCCGTCGTTTTCACCATTTTTTGAAATCATGTCAGCAGGCTGCGAACCAGTTTTTGCTGCACCTTGCAGAAACCAGTTGAAGATTATTCAGATAGACGAAGAGGGATATGACATCATCCTCTAGTTAGCCCCAAAGCTCAACAGCTAAATAGCCAATATACTACTTCCTATCCACAATTAGAGTCCCTTTTATTAATTCCTTCTGTTCCAACATAAGAGTAACACACACACGCACACACAAAAAAATCAATGTTCCAAAAACAGCCATTAGAGTTTGTTTTCTTATTACAGATGATCTCCCCTTCTATTCCGTGTTATCCTGACAGTGGTCATGGATTACTACACATTATGCATTACTTGAAGATATTTTCAATCCTCTTCAATATCAAGACGATTTCCACACTCAGAATCAATTACATAAATTTAGCGTCTGAAAACAAAATCACTTCCATACAATCGAAGATTTTCACCAATCTTCAAGAAAACCAAACCAGATTACTTCAAAAACAAAGGAAATAAACTACACATTCAACCTACTACTTATCAAAATTAACAATTCACATTGCAAAATGAAGGAAAATAAACTGCATTAAAATATTACTTGAGGCCTGAGCTTTGAATCGAACAGGTCTAAGCTTGATAGAATTTGAGTGAAGAATTCCCTTGGTACCGAAGGATCTGATCAGCTGGCGGTAGCATATGAGTTGCTGCTTTTCAATGAAGCCTTGTGTAGCTAGACTACTAACGACAGGCGATTGAATCGACCGAAGCTCCATTATTGCTTCTGATCGAAATTAAATTTCAGAATGTGTTTATGAAAGAGAGAGAAAGCGTTCATATCTTCTTGTTTATGGTTACTTTACTGGAAGATTGGCAGTTGTGGCATCTCCTGCTCTGCATCTAGATATGGTGGTCCCCAACGGGTCAAAATATTCGGAGTTGGGTTGGGCCGGGTCGAACATAGTTTTGAAATCACCTTATTCACCTGTACCGATTAGCCCAGATATTATTTTCAATATTTCCAATGGATACTCAAAACACAAATATAACAATTTTAATAATATTTATGTAACATAAAAATTAAAGTTATACTAATTTTATTTCATAGATAATAAAAATATGTTAAATAATTTGAATACAAATATCTAATTTAATTATCAAATATATTTTTTTGAAAAAATATTAATTAAGATATATATAAGGTAGACTATTTTTATTTAAATTCAAATTATATGTAATTTGTTATTTAAAATCATAAATAATATACTTTTTCTAAAATTTGTTTTAACAAATTCAAATATTATAATATGTATATAATAATCAATTTAAAATTATTTTAAACGATATATTATATTTTTGGAAAAAGTCTAAAAAAAACCCCAATGAACTTTAGTTTTTGAAATAATTAAGTTTTGGACAGTTTTTTAGACAAATAAGTTTTGGACATTCCAAAACATGTTAAATAACTCCTTAGACTTTCTAAAACCTGTTAGATACATCCTTATGACCAATAAAACTGTTTAATGTGGTAAAACAATGGAAAAAAAAAACCCAATGAATTTTCATATTTTGAACGATTAAGTCTCTAAACATTTTTTTAACCAAAAAAGTACTTACTTCTGTAAATTGAAACAAATATATCAAAAAAGTATTTACATTTAAAAAAGATTATTGATAAAATTTTATTTTAATTAAAAATAAAAAATATTATGTCAGTGATTTTTTAAATTAAAAAAATAAAAAATAATTATTGATTAAATTTATTTTAATTAAAAATAAAATATGTTTCGTATATGATTTCTCAAAATAAAAAAAAATTACTAATGAAACTTATTTTAATTAAAAATAAAATATATTCCGTTGGTGATTTTCTAAATTAGAAAATTTTGAAAATAATTTGATTAAATTACTGACAGATCAATGATAAAGTTTAACTAAATATATAATTAATTAAAATTTGTCGCTAGTGTTTATTGGCATATATACATAGATTATTCATATATAATTGATGGCTAACTTAACTATCGTCAGACGCTCTAACACATTAACATGTTAATAAGTGTAAAAGATCATGCTTGAATCTTGTCGGTGATATCATTTTACCGACGGATTAGCGACAAATTTTAATTAATTATGTATTTAATTAAATTTTATCGTCAATCCGTTAGTAATTTAATCAAATTATTTTCTATTTTTTTAATTTTGAAAAATCATCAACGAAATATATTTATTTTTAATCAAAATAAATTTCATCAGTAATCATTATGTAACAAAAAGATAGTAAGAGATTTTAAGTTTTTATCGTAGGAAAGAAAAACCTTTGACACTTTAGCACCTGGTGCAACAATAATCACCAATTTAACTTGGGGGGGGGATTTAGTAGCAGTGGATGACAAATTAACCTAACATTTTATCAGATAAAACATAAATGGTAAATAAAAGGGTTTTTTCACATGTTCAGTATAAATTTTATGTTGTAACTTATCAAAAAATTATATTCACTTAACCTCATGTTTTATGGAAGTAGAAAATTATTCTAATGAAACTTGCAAGATAAGGGTTGAAGCCACGATCGATGTATTGCACAAGATATCTTATTTGAAGCGTATGTCATGTTAAATATGAAACAGTTTTGTTGTATTTTATCTTATTTTATTTAGCAAACACAACATCAGATTGTTGCTTGTACATTTACTTTTGTTCCTTTTTGAGTGTATCATTTGTTTTGGTGTCACAGTCGTATTTGGTTAAATTTCAACAGATGACTATATTTTTTTCAACAAAAATTAAATACAAACTACAAACAAACGTTAAAAACATGGACATAAAAATGCATGGGATTACTTGTACCTGTAAATATAATGTGATTTTTATAAGTGGATGTTTATAATGGGGTTCCTTGCTTTGTTGTGAATTAAATATACTTTGCGAACGTTAAGATCATCCAAATGATGTCAAGATTTTATTTAGTCATGATTTGCACAAGAAATTGAATTAAACAGTGTTTGGAGTCTCGTTGCAGCTGAATTTGGACTATTTCTTCTTAATATATGATGAAACATCTTTCTGTTTTCTTCTTAAGGGTTCTTTTAGAGAGTGATCTAAACTTCTACATACTCTAACATGGTATTATAGTTAAAGTTTACCACTCTATGGACTCGACATTTTAGACATATAGCATCTTTTTGACACTGCAAGACAATTTATATGTAGCTATCCAGCCTTGCTTGAAATGGGTGTGTTAGATTCCAACATCGGCTAAATTTAGACCATTTTTTCTCTGTCTTAACGGCTCTTTTGGATATTAATCCAGGGGTTTAACGTATTTTAACAAATAGGTTATTCAAATTGAGCATAATAAATCCTCTTCTCTTTTCTTGTTCTTCAAACTGTTGTGTTATTTATTGTAACTTTTATATTAGGTTCCACAAAACTCCACATGTCGATTTTCAACTTACATGGTTTATCTGTTTGACCTTTTATGGTTGAAAATACTATTACATTCGTAATATATCAAGACATCATCAAAATCGGCATAAATAATTGGCACCCTAGGATCTGTGTCCAGAACAATTCACTCGTAAGAATCAAGAAACCAGTGAGGTTCACGTGAGAATACGTAAAACCCCATCAAATTACTGCCCAAAAGAGTCATTGAATAGAAAGGGAGGATCAAACTTACATTGGAGAGAAATGGTCCAAGTTTATACGATGTAGGATTCTAACCCTTTATAATAATACAGCTGAAACTGTGCCATTTACCTTCACATCAAAGGTCACTACTGCCACATGCATCTACTGTTTCTATTTTCAGCCATTGATCTCAATTGAAAGCTCAGAGTCATATCATTTTATGGGTGTTAGTTAATAGAGATAAAATGTAATGTGGGTTCTAGAGGGACCAACAAAATGAAAGAAGTGATCTTACAAGCTCCTTATCTACATTGTGGTCATAGTAGTTCTGTCTATTGTCGAATGTATTAAATACTTTTAGTAATGACAAAATACGAGAATGTTGAATTCAGGCTTTGAAACGAGAACATGTGGTTGAACCCCCGAAGACGACCACAGGGCATGCACCACCATATCGGGCCCCTCCTTATCTTTATCCGCCCTCCTTTGCTGCCGGCAATCACCACGACAGATTTTGACCCTGTTATCCCTCAATCCTCATAGATTCTAACCTTCATCTAGAGACTTGTACATCTTGCATGTGATACATATATTCAACATAATATTGTTTTATCCATTGGACCATTTGGAACTAAAAGTTGCAAATAAATCAATTATCTTTAATATGAAAGTAGTTTTTATAGACTAAATATTCAGAGGATAACTCTGAAAATGCAAAGAACCAACAATCTTGACCAAATTAGCGAAGGGGAAAAGATCATGGACCCAATACTCCATTAAAGTAACATCTTGGATATCATTTTGCTGTTTCAATAGTCAAACATGGTGCAGATTAAAATCATAGAAAAGAAAAAGAAACAAAAAGAGAGCACATGCTGCCATTATGACAAACAATCAACAGAACAACAACTTGATAAAGTTTTATTAAGAAATAGTAAGAATGGGAGCAAGAGAAGCAAATGCACATATGAATGAACAGAGCCTAAGCACTTTTTGTTTCCTAAAAACAGCATACTTTAACACAAATTAACCCTCTATTATTCTTCATCACAAGATAAAACCCATCTGCTAAATCCCAAATGATTAGGACAAAAGGGGTTATATACATTTAAGTCTGAACTTCACATACGAAGATAGCCATACCAGAGTATAGGAGCTTTCATTGATTATGTGGTGGCTTGATGATCCTTTGTAAGACAACAGTCCTAGCTCGTCTAACATCACGGCTGCAATTGTCCGCCTGCATCCCTAAATCATCTACATTCTTCATAAATGAATTGAGCTTTAACTTTATCTCTTCAATTGCAACTTTCACCATTTCATCTCCCTCAATCACATGCTCAGCCTTCCTCATCAACTCCTCTATATCCATTTGAAGTCTATCAACAAGAACCCGAATCGTATCAAGGTCCCTGATAGCCACATAACCCCCTACTTGCATAGAGCTTATGATCTCCTTTTGCCCTTTAATGGCGTTTTCATAGTTTTTCAGAAGGGAGTTGATCCACTTCCCCATTGAACCAAGAGGGATAGCAGCGGCAGCAGCAAGTGCTGCCGCCACAGGCGGTGCAGCTATGGCAGCTGCCACCACAGAGCATATCAACACAGCTGCAAAAGTAGCCACAAAGATGACAGATGACACTTTCCTCCATGTTTGAATGTACTTCACCTTCTTGTCCAACTTTGTTTTCTTGGCTTGTAACTTCTCAAGCATCACCATTTGTTGTCTGTATACGGAATGAAATATCTTAAAGAATTCATCTGTGAATGGATCACCAGCATCCTTGAAGTTCTTCAAATCTTCAAGAGTCTTTTCGTACCTATTCTCCTCCACACCTTCATCCTCATCAAAATGCTGCAAAGCTACAAGAATCATCAGTTGGCTATCTCGTACCCTCTTCAAGCATTTATCCAAAGCTGCACAGAAATCAAGCGTTTGAAGGCTATTCTCGAAATATTCTTCCACCAATTCAAACAATTCTTGATTCTTCCAGATATCTTTCTTGCAATGCAATATCACCTTCACAACTTCTTGATTCATTTCTAACAAACACTCTGTAACTTCTTTCAGGGTATCAAACGATAAAGCTCGGACTTCAACTCCCACAGCCAAAGTATTGATCACGTTATTAGCCCGAGCATGTAGCATAGCATCAAAAGATTGCAAATCAGCATCTGATCTGCAGGCAGCTTCATAAGCATTAAGCTCTGTAATGATTTGTTGGGTCTCTTTCAAAGACATAGCAGGTGAGACGGAGGAGGTAGTAGCAGCAGCAGATTTCTTGCTAACATGAGCTCCCATTTTTCAAATAGATCTAATAAAGCAAAATCAACAAGATATGACACGATCTGAAGTCCAAAGGTTTTCAATCTTAACAAGTACTTTTAATACGGTTCCAACTGAATCCAAATTACCTCAGGAAACTCTCATACAACCCGAAAACTATGAAAAAGAAAACCCTAGACTTCAGCTAGGCAATAGAACAAACAGCTAAACTGCGACAGTCGCACATGAGAAAAACCGGCAAAGATCATAAATTGTGCACCAATTTCTTGTGAATTACTGAATGAAGTTGTGAAATTGATGAAAACCCAGAACAGAGAAGTCGATCAATTAAGGGGGTTAACAGAGACAAGGGCTTGAGGTAAACAGATGAAACTAAATGACATGAAAGAAAGATTATGGTGGGCACCGATTAGGCTTTGATAAAGGTGGCAGAGAGAGAGAGAGCAGGATAAGATTACTTATTAGAGTAAAGGGAAAGGCTTAGAAGAAAGTTGGGAAGAGATAACGATGAAATGAAACGGTTAAGGGGGCATAGAGAGATTAAGATGATGAAACAAAGGGGGAATGGGTTTAGCTTGCACGCATGAATTAATATGAGATGGAAAACGCGGGAAGCAATGTATTTGTTTCTCTCTCTAGAACCGCCATTGAAGGAGATGAGGAGAAGATTTCGGTGAATTTGTAAACTGTAAACAGCTGCGAAAAGGTTCAAATGCCAAGAACCTTAAGCTGGAAGACAAGTTAAAACGAAGAGAGAGGATGTGTGTGTGTGTTTTAGCCCAGTCTGAGAATTACAAGGAAACTAAGCAAATTTCTTCAAAAGGACTACAACCACCCTCCACCTCGTCGACCATTTTTTTCTATCATTAATTTATACATTTTTTTTTTTGGGTATGTTTGGTAAATTAAATCAGATTGATAAGATAGTTGATAAATAAATTATGTTTGATAAAATCTAATTTATATACACAGTAAAATTATTAAAAAGGTATCTTAAAAAAATTAATGTATTATAATATTTTATAATATAATTAAAATAGATATTTAATAATATAATATATTAATACAAACAAGATACTAAATTTTTTTAATAAATATAATATGTTAAGTAAAAGAATTTTAAATTAACTATTATATATATTATAAAGGGTAAAATGCACAAAATAGCAATCTACTCTCATAAAATTCTTTTGTTATAGCATTGTACTTTCAGTTTTTCTCATTACAGCAATTTACTTTTAAACTATTTTTTACTAGTTTTTGACATTGCGCAATGATAATGTATTTTATTAAATTATTGAAGTCAGTTAAATGAGTCGAAGATCACATTTATATATTAAAACTAATAAAAATTAATATTATCTTTGATATATGAATCCACCTTATGATTATTGGTTGTGTTTTTTAATAAATAAATAAATATATATATCTACACTATATTATAAAGCATTTGGCTAAAAACTCTTAAAAACTTTTAAAACTCTTAAAACTCTTAAAAAAATTTAAAAACTCTTAAACTCTTTCATTCCTAAACGATTTTATCCCTATCCGATTTCATCCCATATCTAAATTCGTGAAACTAACTGCAGATAAACACAATCAAATACATGATAAACATCTCATTTTAAATATAAAAAATATAAAATATAATTAGTATAATCATTAAATTCTAACAGAATACTTAATTATTATCTTTATAAAATTT